AGGGTGTAATAGGCCGATAAATGCGTAAGATCACTTAAGGCTTATACTGTGTCGAGAAGTTGCCAATACCGCGAAATACCATGTCCTCTCTCCTACAAGCTCTTCTGGACACGTAACAGCCCCATGCTGATTCCTCACTAACCAGTTCGGACCTGACTGCTGGATAAGTATCTGCAATCGGACTTTCAAATCGGTGAGAAGGCTGCCAATGCAAAGAAAGGTCCTCCATGCTTTCTCCAGCCCATTGGTCAGGTCATATGAACTGCCCTTTGTCACATCCGTGAGATTTCGCTGCTCCGGTGCACCTGTGCAGATCTGGCTTCTCTCATGTGTTGAGGTGCAGAGCGCGGAACCGCCCTTCCATTGGCTGGGTATACAGATTCCTGTGTGTGTCTGACCACCGCGAGCCGATCATTTCGCACGGTAGCATCCGCTTTGTCGTGGATTGAAGCCGGCGGCGAGGGTACCACACCAAAATGTAGCGGCTTGCATCACATCTCGAAGGTCCACGTTACGGACGTCTGCTGATCACGATTCTGGTTGACACTATACTCGCAGACTGAGGTCGCAGGAGCAGCGATACAAATTTGACACCGAAAACTATCAAGAAAATGCAATTCTATTTAATTACTTTCTTTTAAAATTGTGCATTCGCTGATCTAGTCCATGCATGGCACCCTAATTCAAACGCTGCAGAAGCTAAGAGGTCAAAATAAGTAATCAGAAAATGCACCAGCAAAGAAGCATGCTCACATATTGGATTTCAATCTCCGTGGTAATATCGATGAGCTCCCGGAACAACTTGGCTGTGGCATTTTGGAGATTGCTTGCAAAGTCGTTGGAGACCAGAGCACCCGCATCGAGCCACGCATCTGAGAAGGCAGCAGCAGCAGTGAACGCCTGACTTGATACGCCTGCTTCCTGAGTGGTATTTGTGACGAGGACCCTGGTACCGGCGCTGTCTTGGGCTTCGATCAACGTTGTGAACCCTGTGACGTTGGACTCGTATTTTGTCTCGGCGACGATCTTGCCGATGTGCGCTCTAGAGACCAATTCGTCAGCACATGCAGGGATTGCTGTCTTGATGGGCATACCGATGAGACAGAAGAGCAAGGAGCGTCGCATCAAGATTGAGGACAGCATCGTCGTCGATGGTCGAGTTGTCCAAGTGGTAGTAGTACGAAGTCGGAGAACTGAAAAATGGAACCAATGTGTCAATGTAGAACGCGGTAATGTTGCCGTTGCCGCTGAACGAGTCCTGGTGAAATCGACCCGGAGGGAAGGGATTGCTCGGTGTGGAGATGTCTGGAGCGATGAGCGGCTGAGTGAAGGGGTATTCGAGTTTCCCATAGTCGTATCGTCCAGAGGCTGCACTGACGACTTCGCGCTGCTTGAGGAAACTCAACAGTTCCTGACCGCCATTTGCGTACAGCGAGTGATTGGTGGCGAGATTGATGCGTTCTGTTAAGGTGCTAGAGCGACGTCATCCACGAACGTCTATCCCAAGTAACGCTACAACGCACCTGACAATGGGAGCCTCGAGTTGAGCTAGGATATCCTAAGCGATATTACTTGGACTTAGGCTCTCTCTCTCTAAGGACGCAGAATTGCATAGCGCTTACTCTGATCTGCACCAGCCCTGGGACTGTCAACACGGGTCTGGTGCCAGTGGCGCCAGCCAAGACGGCGCAGATTGCTATAGGGAGGGTTACAAGACTTAGTGGGTGAAAATGCATCCTAGAGGTTTGTGGCTGCGAAAGTATGGGTGCCGCTGGCAGAGCTCCAGGCCCGCTTTATAGTACACATCATCCCGAGCGACTCGGACTTAGCCTGCGTCTCTTGCAGGGTCGCACTACCTTTGCCGGCGTGATGTTCCGTAAGTTTACAAAATACGCTGATCTCACAGAATAGTGCAAATCACCGAGCGCTCTCCGTCAGTCGTGTGTAAAATAGCTCTCGCCTCCGTGAAGGAAAGCGCGCAGGTAGTACGCGGATGACTTCCGAGTCGGTCTCCGAGTCGCTCAGAGTCACATATCGCGGGAGAAGCGCGGTTATGGCGAGCCATTAGCGCGTGCGGCCAGGGTGAGACACGCCATACCTTGTACCTCATGCAGAGTCTGGTACTGAGAATGTGCAGTGATCTAGATCGCGAGGCTTTCGCTTCAAGTTATCATCGCGACTGGTTCGAGCACAATCAGACGTACCCTTGAGAAGCCCCTCGGTGCATCACAGATTATCAACAGTTGAACGTGGACGCGCCACTGCCGGTCGACTTCCCCCTGCCAGGCCAAGGCTACCCCAAGAGGGTCAGCCATCAGCAAAATCACACCCTATGTTAGACAAGGTTGAGGTTAGGGAGATGAGGTTACTACAACGCACCTGACAATGGGGGCTTCGAGTTGAGCTAGGATATCCTAAGCAATATTGTTTAGACTCAGACTCTCTCGAAGGGCGCAGAATTGCATAGCGCTTACTCTGATCTGCACCAGCCCTGGGACCGTCAACACGGGTCTGGTGGCGCTAGCGAAGGCGGCACAGGTCGCCATAGGGAGGGCAACGAGACTTAGCAGGTGGAAGTGCATGCTAGAGTTCTGTGATTGCGAAAGTATGGGTGCTGCTGGCAGAGCTCCAGGCCCGCTTTATAGGACACATCATCCCGAGCGACTCGGCCCCTTCACTGGCGTGATGCTTCATAATAACACGAAAATATCGATCTCGGAGAATAGCGCAAAATATCGAGCGCTCTCCGTCAGTCGCATATAAAGGAACTCTCACCTCCATGAAGGAAAGCGAGCAAGGAGATGGGCGCCCTTCTTTAGCTCAGCAATACTTTCCCACGCTTGGAAGGTAGCAATACTGTAAGGTGGCAGCAGCACTGCCAGTGTACCGGCAACAATAAATCATCAATCATCATCATTCTAAATTATCATTATTTTTCTCCAAAGGAGTGGCAAGTCGAATAACAGCCTGAGATCGAGCCGCGGCCAGGGTGCCGATTGGTCGGGCCTTCGCCCGAACCACCACCGACAAATCCGACAGCAGGCGAGCAGGCCCCCCAGAACCCCGGACAACCATCTCAAGCACAAAACAACA